GCTAATTTTTTGTATTTTTAGTAGAGACAGAGTTTCACCGTGTTAGCCAGGATGGTCTCGATCTCCTGACCTCGTGATCTGCCCGTCTCGTCCTCCCAGAGTGCTGGGATTACAGGCGTGAGCCACTGCGCCAGGCCAATCTTCCTCATTTTACTGATGAGGACAGGGAGATGCAAAGGGGGTAAGAAACAGTGACCAAGGTCAGCCAGCGGGGTGAGAGCTGCGATTTGAATCCAGGCCTGACTCTAAAGCACCTGCCTACCCAGCAGGACTTGGCAGCAGATGCAAATAAGGGAGCAAGGAGGCAGAAGTCAGAGAAGGGCAGTTGGGGGACTCCTGCATCCCAGAAACAGTTGGGAAGGGGAGATGGTGGAAATCCTGGTTCTTCTCTGGGTTCTGAGTGGGCTCTGCCTCTTCCCCCGGGCCTATCCCCTCCTGAGGCTCCGCCCCTCTCCACTGCACCCTGGGCCTCCCCCTCCTCCCTCCCTCCTCAGCTCCACCCACATGTCTAGGCATGCAGATCCTGCGCACGGCCCAGGCAGCGCTGGGCAAAGGCTGCCTGGCCAGCTCCTTCATCTGCGTGTACCTGTTTACAGGCGAACTGTACCCCACAGAGATCAGGTGGGTGCATGGGGGGAGACGCTGCAGGTTGAGACCTGCTGGGCTCACTGAGGCAGGATCCCCGGTCCCTCCTGTCCTCTGACACTCAGGGCACGGCTCTCTTGGGCCCCTAGGGGTGCAGGTCGCTGCACTGACCCATCCACACACCTCCCACAGGCAGATGGGGATGGGCTTCGCCTCGGTCTACGCCCGCCTCGGGGGCCTGGCGGCACCCCTGGTTACCACACTTGGGGAGTACAGCACCATCCTGCCGCCTGTGAGCTTCGGGGCCACCGCAGTCCTGGCTGGGCTGGCTGGCTGCTTCCTGACCGAGACCCGCAACGCACCCCTGGTAGAGACGATTGCAGCGATGGAGAGAAGGTGAGGGGCCGCCAGCACCAACAGGTCGAAAGTTACAGGAAATAACTGGAGGGCAAATGGGGTGCTCTCCTCACTCCTGCGCATCGGAAACATCCTGGCTGGATGCACCAGAGCTGTGAGATGCCTCCCCCACCTCTATCTACAATGGCTTAGCTTTCCCCAAGAACGGACCCGATCATGAAGGTTTTAAAAAGAATAAACTGTGAACCAGGAAACACGTGGGTTGGAAGTGAGAACTGGCAGAGAAGTGGGGAGAGGACAGCAGGGGAAACTGAAGCAAACACAGGCCCCCGTGGTTGCTGTGCAGGCTTCAAATTTGGTTCTGGGCTTCCTCCCAACAGAAAGGGAGACCCCATTCACGACTACTCTTGGAGAGGAAAACGAATACCAGCCCCTCAGGAGAGTGAAGCTTTCCGCTTTCCTCAGCATTTAGCACTAGGAGAGGTTTCTCTTCTCTTCTTGGCCTCTTTTTTTTTTTTTTTTTTGAGATCATCTTGGCTTCAAGTGTGGGTCTCATTAGAAAAGTCACTAAGGTAACAGCAATGCCCTGGACAATGTTTCTAAAACAAATGCAAGAGGGGATTTGATCTGGCTGCTGCTTGCAGCATTTCTTAGCAACAGTGGGCTCAGGGAAGACCTTTAGGTTGCGGGAATGGTGACAGGGACAGTAGCAGGGCCCGTGTGTAACCCTCTCTGAAGGTCGACTTGATCCCAAAGGTGGACCCATCTGTACCCAGTGGCCTGTATAGGTGCTGTGTTTGCAACCCTGAAATGACCCCCATCAACACCCCATCTCTAACCTGAGCCATGGGCCAAGGTTGCACTGTAAGAAATCAAGGATATATTCTTTGGCAAGTCCTATCATTTCTTTTTTTTTTTTTTTTTTTTGAGATGGAGTTTCACTCCGTCACCCAGGCTGAAGTGTGGTGGCACGATCGCGACTCACTGCAACCTCTGCCTCCCAGGTTCAAGTGATTGTCCTGCCTCAGCCTCCCAAGTAGCTGGGATTATAGGCGTGCACCCTTGCGCCTGGCTAATTTTTGTATTTTTAGTGGAGATGGAGTTTCACCATCTTGGCCAGGCTGGTCTTGAACTCCTGACCTCATGATCCACCCACCTCGGCCTCCCAAAGTGCTGGGATTACAGGCATGAGCCATTGCGCCCAGCCCAAGTCCTATCATTTCTGCCTCCAGAATAGACTTAAATCTGTCATTCTCTCTCCAGCCCTGTGTCCATGGCCCTACATCAAGCCACCATGTATTGTCTCTTGTCTGGACAACTATGAGAGCCTCATATCCTCCCCTGTCCCTGTCCACTTTATTCCCTGCAGGCCAAGCGGGGGAAGACAGGCTTCATCTGGGCACTGAGCAGGGCTTGGAGAGGATGAGGGTGTGGGAAGCGGAGTGGCAAAGTGCGTGCATGAGCCAGGTACAGTGGCTCACACCTGTAATCCCAGCACTTTGGGAGACTGAGGCGGGTGGATCACCTGAGGTCAGGAGTTTGAGACCAACCTGGCCAACATCGCGAAACCCCGTCTCTACTAAAAATACAAAAATTAGCCAGATGTGGTGGTGGGTGCCTGTAGTCCCAGCTACTTGGGAGGCTGAGGCAGGAGAATTGCTTGAACCTGGGAGGTGGAGGTTGCAGTGAGCCGAGATCGTGCCACTGCACTCCAGCCTGGGCGACAGAGCAAGACTCCGTCTTGGTGGGGTGGGGGTGGGGGAGTGGGAAGATTAAGTCAATTGACTAAAATATTATAAATAGAAGAGGTAAAAAGCAGGGATAGAAACATTGATAAAACAGTATGAATGCTGAAAAAAATCCAAATATGGAACCAGCTAAAAGTAGACGGGAGAAATGGGCAAGATATGAAACGATTAAAACAAGAGGATAACAGGCCAGGCATGGTGGCTCACACCTGTAATCCCAGCACTTTCGGAGGCAGAATCAGGCGGATCATGAGGTCAGGAGTTCGAGACCAGCCTGGCTAACACAGTGAAACCCCGTCTCTGCTAAAAATACAAAAATTAGCCGGGAATGGTGGTGTGCCTGTAGTCCCAGCTACTCAGGAGGCTGAGGCAGGAGAATCACTTGAACCCAGGAGGTGGAGGTTGCAGTGAGCCGAGATTGCACCACTGCACTCCAGCTTGGGGCGACAGAGCAAGACTTCGTCTCAAAAAAAAAAAAAAAAAAAAAAAAAAAAACTAAGATAATTCAGTGGGAAAGCAGTTATCAGTGTCCACAATGCAAAGATAAAAATAAATAGAAGCAATTAGAACATAAATCATTTCAAAGACTAGAGGGTTCTTTTTTAAGGCAACAGGCCAGGCACAGTGGCTCATACCTGTAATCCCAGCACTTTGAGAGGTCGAGGCGGGAGGATCGCTTGAGCCTAGGAGTTCAAGACCAGCCTGGGTAACATAGCAAGACCCTCATTTCTATCCCCCACCCACCAAAAAAAGGCAAAATTGGATCTGGTCAAATAATAGAAAACCAGTGGGGTAGCCCTGGACTATTTGGGACTGAGGGGGCCTCAAAGTCCAGGCAAGCCCCCCCACCACCCTCAACCTGCCCTGACTTCTTGAAAAGCCAAACAGGGAAGGGCAGGAGTGGCTCAGAGCCCCAACCTTTGCCCCTCCCTGCCTCCTGGGGTGGGAGAAGAAGGGCGCTAATAGTGCCCAGTCCCTGGGGATGTCTGCTGGCCCCTGTTCTCCAGCCAAGTGACCTCGGGCACGTGTCCAGCCTCTAGGTCCTCATCTGTAAGACTCTTCGTTGAACTCCTTGACCCTGCAGCTCTTTCAAGTCTGTCTCTAGACACGCCAGCCTCTGCCAGCTGCGAGACCCCAGGGATAGAGCAAGGAGGGAGCTGGAGGGACAATAGGAGGGTCGCCGCCAGGGTGCCCGAGATAATCCGGAGGAGGGGCCGCTGCAGCGTTCACCTCCCTTCTGGCTTCAGGAGGGTGGAGCTGCACCCTGTGCATATGGCACCACCCTCCCTACGACACGCACACCGCCTGCCCCTCACCACTGCCTTCTGCCTTTTCATTTCTACAGGGCCAAAGAAGCCTCTTCCAAGAAACATGTAGAAGAGAAGAGTGAAGAAATTTCTCTTCAGCAGCTGAGAACATCTCCCCTCAGAGAAACCATCTAAGCTGCCGGGAGCCTGATGCTTGCTAGCAGCACCTGAGCCGATGTCCAGATGGCCCCCTGGGGGCTTCTCCTGGAAGCCCCTGGGGATACTGGTACTGAACTGGAGGAAAGGTCGCTGAAAACATCGTGGCTCCTATAGAGAGCCACCCACAAGCCAGGGCTGCTTGGAGGGAAACCCCCACCAGAAACAGCCAATCTGCGTTACAAATGCATAGAAAGCCAGGAGAAGCCAGTCCCAAGGACCAAAGGAGAGACTGTTTTCCTTTCCCATCCCCAATCTGCCCCTTAAAATGTCTCTGCATTAGTCCATTCTTGCACTCTATAAAGAAGTACCTGAGATTGGGTCATTTATGAGGAAAAGTGGTTGAATTGACTCACAGTTCTGCAGATTGTACAGGAAGCATGGCTGGGAGGCCTCAGGAAATGTACAATCATTGCAGAAGGCAAAGGGGAAGCAAGCACGTCTTCACATGGCTGGCAAGAGAAAGAGAGATATTTTATTTTCTTCAAAAATAAAAGTAAAGGCTGGGTGTGGTGGCTCATGCCTGTAATCCCAGCACTTTGGGAGGCCAACACAAAAGGATTACTTGAGTTCAGGAGTATGAGACCAGCCTGGACAAAATAGCAAGACCCTGTCTCTTCAAAAACTTTAAAAATTAGCCAGGCATGGTGGTGGACACCTGTAGTCCTAGCTACTTGGGAGACTGAGGTGGGATAATTGCTTGAGCCAGGGAAGTTGAGGCTGCAGTGAGCCGAGATCATACCACTGCAACTCCACCTTGGGTGACGTAGTGAGAACCTGTCTCAAAAATAAAAGAATAAATAAAATAATAGTCATTCATGGCGAGGCGCTGTGGCTCAAGCCTGTAATCTCAGCACTTTGGGAGGCTGAGGTGGGTAGATCATTTGAGGTCAGGAGTTCAAGACCAGCCTGGCCAACATGGCGAAACCCCATCTCTACTAAAAATACAAAAATTAGCCAGGCATGGTGGCGTGCACCTGTAATCCTAGCCACCCAGGAGGCTGAGGCAGGAGAATCACTGGAACCCCAGGGGCACAGGCTGCAGTGAGCTGAGATTGCACCACTGTACTCCAGCCTGGGTGACAGAGCAAGACTCCATCTCAAAAAATAAAATAAAATAAAATAAAATAAAATGTTTTGGGGCCGGGCACGGTGGCTCATACCTATAATCTCAGCATTTTGGGAGGTTGAGGCGGGCAGATCGCTTGAGCTCAAGAGTTCGAGGCCAGCCTGGGCAACATGGTGAAACCCTGTCTCTAATTCAAAAAGAAGAAAATGATTTTGAGGCCAGGCAGTGGCTCACGCTTGTAATCCCAGTGCTTTGGGAGGCAGAGGCGGTTGGATCACTTGAGTCCACGAGTTCGAGACCAGCCCAACCAACATGGGGAACTCGTTTCTACAAAAAAAAAAGATACAAAAATTTTAAAATAATTGTTTAATTATGGTATTTCTAGGTGCAGTGGCTCGGGCTTGTAATCCCAGCACTTTGGGAGGCCGAGGCAGGCGGATCACCTGAGACCAGCAGTTCGAGACCAGCCTGGCCAACTTGGCAAAATCCCATCTCTACTAAAAAAACAAAAATTAGCCAGGCATGGTGGTACACACCTATAATCCCAGCTACTTGAGAGGCTGAAGCACAAGAATTGCTTGAACCTAGGAGGTGGAAGTTGCAATAAGCCGAGATTGCGCCACTGCAAAGAAAAGAGGGGGAGAGAGAGGAGAGAGAGAAGGGAGGAGAG